TAATTAAATTAAAAATGTGAAACTTGTGTTCAGTTATAAATTTAAGACTCTCTATATGCACTGGATATAAACCCTATAGAGCCTGTTAGTACTATCAAAAGGAAGTTGAGAGACACCAGAGTCAACAATGAGGAATGAATGTCACTATTGAAATAAGCTTCTTTATCGCCTCAAGAGAACACACGCTGGTCACCTTCATCTCACGAATTGTACAGTAATTTATGCAACTGCTGAACAATATTACATTAATTTCTTCACTTTCTGAAGCTAGTTATGGAACGGATTGAGGCTGAGCCCAACAGATGGTTTCCATTTCATTCATAAGAACCATAACTGACTGAGCAAGCAATAACCAGTAAAGGTTTTTGACGACATGGCTCACTGCTCAGAGACCAACAAGATATTTACCATAGGTTGCCTGATACCTTTTATTTCTTTAACATTTTCTCTCACACAGCTTTTAGGTTGTGGAGTATCATAACTATTTACATCAGTCAAAGTACTGATGAGCACATGTCCTTCAAAAATGCCATTACTTAGTCCAGTGGAAACATCTTTCTTGCCATTTACAGTAATCAAACTCTTGTTATAATTATTTGTTTTTGTATGTTTCCACTGGTATTTTGATTATTTCATTTTGGTAATGAGCTCCAATGTTCTTCATCCAGTCCTCATCATCCTTTATGAATCAATTTTAATATGGGCCTCCAGAGGGCACTAACAAAGCATTGAACATTAATTCTTAGATAGTCTGTTAAATCTTGAATAAAAGAGAGAGAGAGAGAGAGAAAGAGAGAAAACAACAAAAAAAAAACGACATCATGCCTAAAGTTACATAACTGGTCATCATTAAGTCGAACAATGTGAATTTTACATCCTTCATCCCAGTCTGATTCTGAGATATCTGAGTACTTCTAATAGCTATGCCATAAGAAAACACTGCTGCTTGGTAATGTTTTCTCATTCATTATTAAAATCATAAAACATTTGTATTTTATTTTACTCAATGGTTTCAAAAGGGTGATTAGATGGGGACCATCTAAGACCAAAATATCATAGCAGAATTTCTGAAGTTTAATTTTGCCATCAGGTGGCTTCTACAGGTTGGTGGGGGGAGAAGTGTGAGACAGATATGGTCTGATCTGTGGATGAGATTTTTTTTCAATTAAATAAATTATTGAAGCTCACTAAAACTGGTCTCCTTTTCTTTTAAATTATTATTATTATTTTTAAATATTTGGCTAGAGTGGCCTATAGGAGTGACTTACTGCTCCTCATGAATCTCCTATCTTCTTCGTGGCATCATTCTACCGTAATGAACCTTATATGGGCGGAGCTGATTTCTACTTTCAAAGCGCCGTTTCTGGGTTGACCGTAAGGTTGAACTGGATGAATAACCGTAAGAGGATCTTGATTTACGCAGTTTTACTTTAAAATTAAGATTTTTATTTGGACTTTTAATTCAACAAAAAAGTTGCGAGACAAGTTTGGAAGTTTTAAGCTTTTCACCCAGCAAGAAGTCAATTTCCCTGCAACATGAACAGTTTGACAGGTAAGCACCGCAGATTGAAAAGGTCAATAATTATTTCATGGACTAATCAATTTTGATTAAAAAAAAAAAAAGAAACAGACAATCAATTTTGTGTGGCTTCAGTTGTCACTGAAATAATGACTGCAATCCATAAAGATGATTTACAATATTCGTCTCCTCCCCGCTCCAGGAGATCTGGTTGTACTCGGATCCCCCCCCTCTCTCTGGCCGCTGATGAAATTCAGTGGACCCCCTCCTGCCTGTGATACCCCCCTGGGAATGACTGCGCTTCTACATCTGCTGCCCTGTCCCTGCCTGCGCTCGTACACTTAAAGCGCTCAGGGCTTCTCATTAATGCCTCTCCTCGTGTCTTATCCCTTCTCCTCTGCAGCTCCCCCGGTGCGCGGTCAGGCTTTGAGGGAAACGTTTAGCAAATATTGATAGCTCTTGGTGCACGGAGGAGATCAAAAGCAGAAGAAAAGGAGAGAGGAGGGCAGTCTAAAAAGTGAAGCGGTGGATAAATGGTGCACAGTGCTTTCATGCATGATTTATGCGGTATAAGGTGGGTTATTGCTCAGGAAAAAAGCATTTGATTTTTTTTTTTGTCAGATTTTGGATGCACCCGACAAAAAAGTGTCTTTAGAATTGAACCTTTAGTAAATGTATTTCCTGTAGGCACAGATTTAAAGTAAAAAAAAAACTGAAAAGTGGTTAAATCAAATAAATAGCAGATTGTTAATGGTGACAAAATAGGAAAATTCATTCATCTCAAGCTTTATGTAATATGTTTTCTTGTACCGTTAAAGACAAAAATGCATTTCTTTCTCAAGTGAGTGAATTTGCCATTTCAACACAAAACCAATTTGCAGAGCTTTGGACAGTGACCATCCCTGCAGACCACAGGTCTATGACCCCCCACAGACTCGTCAGAGACAAATGGTTCTTTATTGACTTGTTTTAATCAGTACCTCTGGAAAGTAGGGAGAGAAAAGCAGTGAAAAAGTGAGAGCTACGCAGCAACAGAGCCGTTAAAATGTTGCATATGTGCCAGCAGAATGAAATTACTGAGCCCTAATCATTTTTACAGCCCCCCACAGCTCCGGAGCTGCAGGTGCTGCTGGGACGCAGTCAGGCAAAGATGACAGGGAGACATCAAGGAGGCTGCCAATATGGTAAAAACGATGCAGCCGTTCCCAAATTTGTCCAGATTCAGGCCTTCTTTGAATCTGGCCAGAAGTGTCTGAGATGGCAGCAATTGTCCGACTGCTCAAGTGGTCCTAAACATTTCACAATTTTCTCAAAGAACTGTTGAACTGTTGAGAACCACTTGATCAGAATGACTTTGCACTTCTTCATCCGACATTCGTCCTTCAAACTGTGGATTCCACTGGTGAAAGAAAAACCAGCAGCTACTGTTAGTGAAAGGCAAAAGTAAATGCAATGCGGCAGCACTTGATGATGTTAATTCTGCTACAGAACAAATCAGTACAAAAGCAGAGTAAAGCCCAAGCAAAACACTTCTTGATCAGAGTTTTTACCTGAAGAAGGCACCTCTCTTTCTTGGTAGTTGTAGTGTTCCTTGGTGTGATCCCTGCCAAGACTGAGTAACTGAAGAGGCAAGAGGTGCTTATATAGTGTTTTTGGGCTTGGCTTTCACAAGAGTCTCGTTTAAGGAAGAATGAGGCTCATGCTGGTCCGACCTGATGAACCAGGTTTCACCAGTAAGGAGCAGGACAGGGCAGCTACCCTGAAAAGGAAAAAGAAAACAGATACTGACGAGTGATCTGAACAGATGCAGTTTTATGTCATCACTGCCTTGTGAGTTCGTGTGACTTCTGATGAAAAAAGATTAAATTTATAGTTGGTAATAGCCTGCTGTTCACCGAGCTTTATATTAGTACGGGATGCAGCTATTCTCCAGAAGACTTTCTGCAGTCAAAATGGTTCTTTTTTGCAGTCAGAGCGTGTTTCTGGTGAGAATACAAAGAAAACTGAGCTCAGAGACAGAAGTGACCTCCAATGTTTGAAAAGATCTTAATTTATTCATTAAAAAAGAGAGAGTTAAAAGCTGCAAAGACAAGGCAAGTTTACTTGACATTCATACAGAAGGTAGCTCTGAGCAAAAATAAAGAAAAATACATAAAAAATAGCTCTATTTATTATCTCATACAAAACATGCAGGTGAAATTTAAAACAATAACTAATCAAATTAGACTTTTATGGGAAACTTGTGATAAAAAGAGATGTTTTCAGTCTTGACTTGAAAAGACCTGGCAACTTCTACACACTTCAGGTTTTCAGGAAGTTTGTCTCAGAGCTTAGGGCTCAACATTCAACAGTTTATTTGTGTTATACCTGTGTAACACACAGAAAATGCTTTCTGGATCACTGTGACTTGCTTGCACCACTAGACAGGATGGAAAAATAAATGAGGATCAAAAAAATTCAAAGTTGACTCCTCATGTTTATTTATGTGTCAGTGAATGCTGAGTCAAAAGGTCTGTGATGACTTGTGGGGTTTTGATGGTTCATACAAGAGAAGAAACTCTGAGATGTACTTAACCCCAAAGGTATTCAGTGCTTTATAAACCAATAACAAGATTGGAAGCTTTTTCCATATTCAAAGTGAGGAAGTGCAGTGATTTAAGGACTGCTGTGATTTTTTTCCTCTTGCTGCTGGTCAATATTCCAGTAGCAGCAGTTTTAGATGCACTTCAGCAGTCTGACCAATTCTTCATAAAAAATATTCAGTGTACTTAACCACAGTGAGTCTCAGCTTGATGCTGCTGGTCGTTCCCTGGACTCATTTTAAGATCAGTAGAGACTTGCATTTTTATTCAGGCTGTGACTCCAATGTTTGAACTCTCTTCCACTTCCACTCAGATCAATGTTTACTGACTCTTAAAAAAAAAAACTCTGCAAGCTATTGAGCTGTGTATTTCATATACAAATATATTTCCATGAAATACTTTGTGATGTTTTTATCTATGAAAGGTGCTATCTAAATAAAAATTACTTACAAAGCAGAAAATGTGTCCTTGGATCAGAAGACAGCTCTAAAATTATACAATACATCTTTAACATGTACTATATATAGATTTAACATTACCATCAAAGAGGTTTTGAATGTTGTTTTGTCATTGAAGATCTTTTCAAATATGATAAGCTACATTTTCAAGGACCTCTGTCAAAAACACAGGCCTGGTTAACAGGCCTGTACTAATTAATGTACTTTGATTACATTTAATTAAAATAAAAAAGGTTATTGCAGTTTTGAAGCGCTGATGTTTTGCTTCTGTAAATAGGGAATATATTTTTATATCTGCAATATTTTAGAAGCAACATTACAAAAAACAGAAGAAAAACTTGTGGCCATCATGTCAAGACAAAGGAACATTTGAAGAGAATCAACATATTTAGTTTCATCTGAGTGTGTGAAAGACATCAGCAAGCACATAAGGTATTTCTTTTCATCAAAGGCTTTATTCCTGCTGTTCTTCCTACAAGGTAACAAATTACTATCAGTCAAAACTCATTACAACGCTTTGTAATACAATGAGGTGAAAGAGAATCTTCCAAACCATAAAAATGAGGGAAAAAACAGAAGTGCATTAAAAAAAAAATCTAAAAAACTAGAGCAGCACTGGATGATGTGAAAAGCCACAATAATTTTATTGCTGAGAACATTAAACAAAGTCATGAAGTAACACAAAAACTGGTTTTCCTCTTAATCTGCTTTGCACAATAGTCTGGACTTCCCCTTTCCGGTTCAGGGTGCGAGATATGCGACGCTTCCAGTTCGACAATTAGCCTAGAAACAGGCTGGATGAGTCTGAGGAGTAACTGCAGCTTGTTTTTTCTATCACACCTGGAGAGCAGCAGGAAGCGGGAAAAATGAGCTGCATTTAGGAGCTGCGTGGCTCTTTGGCTGATGTGAACAACATTCATTCAAAAAAATATTGCTTTCATAATCCCACATTATATTTTCCGCAATTTCACTAAGAAAAGAACTACAAAAATAAAATCAGTCATTTTACACTGCCATTGGAAACATTAAAAATACTTAGCCTTACAAGCAGGTAACAATATATCACAAAGTCACAGCTTACACTTTTGTAACATGAGACTCACTTCAATTCCCTAATTTAAGGGTTATTTTGAGCAGAAAAGTAATGAATTTGTACATCCAGCATTGTAACAGCATTGTAATTCAAAGCAGAAGTGATATAAACACATTTGGATGGATTGAATGATATGTGCTCATATTTAAAAGAGGTCAAACAACAAACATAAAGGTGGACGGGATGTAGAGGACAACTTTACAGGAACGGAGGTGGACTTGGCTCACAACAACGCTGGCTTGGCAGTGAACTCGATCCCTGCACCGTTCTGACAAAGTAAAAGATTAGAAAAAAGGAAGGCTTAACAATAAGTACGAGAAGGGATGACAAGTGATTCAGGATTTCCACAAACACACTGACACACATGCAAGAGTAGTGTGAGCAGGAATCTATGAGGGTTTGCCAACAAGCGCTCAAACTTGATTAGAAACTGTGTTGTGGAATTAAGCTTAATTTGAATGCATTGTTTTGCTTACAAGAAACAAGTGTTTATTCTGATAAAAGTAGAGAAGAAGCTACAAGTCTTCACTTTTAAGACACCGACTCCTGATAAAAAGCTCTCAATAATTTACACAAATATGGCCTTTATGGAAAAGTGGCAGGAGAAAAAAGGCACATAATGCTATTGGGATAAATTTCTTCAGAAGGGACAGAAAAGCAGATCAGCTCAGAATCCGGTAGGACTTGAAAACTGATCTTCACACATTCAAAAAGTAGAAATTTCAGTTTCTAAATGGCCAAAGTGATTTAAACATGCACCTAAAGACTTAAAAAGTGGTTTTCTACAGACTCAAGTTTACTAAATGCAAATGCATGCCACACTTTTCAAATTTTAGTTGTAGAAAATCTCTCTTTGCACATTACAACCATGTGCTACTTTGTGTTGATATAACAAGCTAATTCGAAATAAAACTGTAACGGGCAAATATAAAAAGTTCTAGGGATTTCTGGAACAATAACATTTTCCTTCCCTCTCTCATTCCTTCTCTTGAAATTTGAGTCAGATCATTTGACCTGGTGTCATTATGACGATCTGGACGAGTGTTTTAATGACAGGATCAGTAACAAAAAGCACCCTGTATGAAGGGGAACTCAGGCCATGCTCACTGGGGGAAAGGAGCAACAAACTGGGAAGTTCACCATGTCATTTACCTCCTCATCATCATCAATATTATATTCATCATATTCATTTAGTTCATCAAATACGGGCTGAAATGAACAAGACAAGCAATTAATAGGCAGAATTAAGGACTTGTTTTGATTTAATTTAGGTTCATGTCGGGGTTTGGATGAGTCTAAAGGAGGATGGGAAAAGCGTTTACCATGGTTTTGCTGCTCAAGTATGAGTTTAAAAACTCCACCACGTCCTTATTGCCTGAAGCATGAGCCTGAGACAGAAGAAGAGGGATTTATTAGACTTTCTGAACTGACAAGTGTTATCACAGCAGACCAAATCTCCCTCAAACCCACCACTTCAATGGCCGTCTTCCCGTCGTAGCCTGGTCTGGTCAGATCTGCCCCGGCGATTCTCCAGATATCAAGACCCTCTTTATCGCCACTGGCCGCGAGGCTGACACACACACACGCAAACACAACGTAACGCTTTTATTAAGGCAAAACCAAAAACGAAAAGAACTGAGGATGAAGAAAGAGCCAACACATCAGAGGAACAAATCAACAGATTAGCAGATGCTTTTGTTTCGTCTTAACTGATAGAACAAAAAAAGTGTGCTCGTACAAAATAGGTCCTAACAAAACCAGTTGAGTATCACGTGTAGATAAATAACAGAGCCCGGTCTGCATTATCTTCTTTGGAGATGCAGATTGGGTCCACAAGTATGCAGCTAAGTCACATTCTTAGTGCATGTGAAACACTTGGGCAACTGGTTGGACCTGTGTCACCTATGCAGGATGGGTCAGCATGGACGGTTCAGAAAACCGAGCACTGTGGGTAAAGTCCTGAAATGTCTTTCTGGTAAGTCTGACCTGCACAGTTCACTTCCTGCTTCCTCTAGTTGCTCTCTCGAGAAGTGAGCTCCGGTCTTCCTCAGAAGCCTCACCACTTCCTTGTGCCTAAATAAGACAAAAACACAGAATCTCATTTAACTCACACTTTTTCCGGTAATTCACAGTTTAATGTGATTCTGCAAAATAAAGAGATTTTGTAAAGCTGCTACATAATTGTAATATCAGCATTTTAAAATATGCTGATATTTTATGTTCTCACTGGAACATAAGTCATAAGTTCCTATAAATAGATTTGTTGGACATTAACCAACTTGTAATATGAATTTACCAAAAGCGTTTAACACAATATGCTGGAGTGTATGGGGGAAAAAAAATTGAAGGCAAGATCTAAGCTTTTTTGTTTCAGTGGCAACAAAGACAACACTGTATCTTCATGACTTGTTAAAGCAGAAGTTAAAGTTTTCAAAATCTTCGAACTTCTGCTCAGCTCATTTGCTGTTTCATTGTGAGACTTTAAAAATATCTAGTCTGGAGTATATTAACCATTATAATTAAACAGAAAAAGAAATTGGACACAGCCTGAAAAAATAACTAAATTGAGATTTCACATATTTCCGAGAATAAAATATGTGTATATTTAATGATTTAATGGATAAATGTATTGAATCTAGTATGTTCCCCAACATCTCAGAGGTGTAGATTCAATCCAACATGTTGCAGTTTCTTTCTCAGGCGTTTGTACCAGATCAGGTTTGAGATTTTTATGGCGAATCTGCACAAGGTACGTGTAATTCTGATTCAGTAAAAGAATGTCCCACTTACAGTTTGGAAAATATCTAGATGTGCATACATCTAGATATTTTTCTACCATGGTGTTAGTGGACCTCTGTTTCTTTGTGTCGCAAATGTCTGACAATAATCTCAGAAAACAGCTTGAGTTTCCGACTTCACAATGTCAGAGAATACGGCAGTCTTAATATTGTAACATTATGCCTTTAGTCGTGTGAAATTGACAATTTACGATAGCAAAGGCTATCCATGTTTTTCTTGTAAACATGAAAAATGAATCTTAAAATTTTAATATTTTTGGTGGAATTTTACTTGTCATTGACAATGATCTAGTACTATGTACTCTGTCATAGACTTTTGGCTCTTTCTTTAATAGTTTTGGATAAAAAAGTTCCTTTTAGATTTCGTTCATGTCCAACCCTAAAATATAATATGTTGTATGTGTGTCTGTCAGTGTGTCAAAAAGTGCTTTTTATCTAAAGTTTCTGCATGCCTATTTTTTCCTAAGGATTGGATTGACTGTGCTAGTATTTTAGCTTCATACAACCAGAACGTCCTCAGGCAGAGGCTTCTTCAAAATTCACTGTAATACTGACTGCTGAAGTGGATCCTTGCTGCCCACAGCTACCAGTGTGTACAACAACCTTTTGAAGAAACCTAAATAATACGAGTTACAACAGTAGTTTTTATAACTGAATTTGGAAACGTTACACTTATATATTTCTTTAATATAACAAATTCTCAGAATTACCTTTTATTTAGGCAACATTTAGGTAAAATACAAAAGATGAAATCATTAAGGCTTCAAATAAAGTTTTAAAAACTATGACGACCTTTTTGTGGTCAGTTAAAAAAAAATCACAGAATTAATTTTTAATCAAATTATTTTTATTTGTTCACAAGAACCTATAAATTAACCACTCACTCAGAAACAATCAAACTTTTATGCTTGTGTGACGTTAAATCATTTCACAGTTAAGAAATATTTTGATTTGGGCTTCCTCCAAGCAAATATTGCGCTGCAGCATTTAAGAGTTCATACTGATGTTATTGTGTTGTTCTAAGAGTTAGTGTAGTTGGAGTTGTTGTCTGACATGTTAAGACAGGTTCCTTAACCCCCACGTTCAGCCACCCACACAAGAGTCACCTGCAGGGACAGTCACTGTGACAAGACACAGCAAGTTAGGCCTAATATCTACAACTGTTTGCCTTTGTGCACCAATGTGCATAAAAAAAAAAACATTGTTAATGACAACAGGGCAACAAAACTAAAAGCAATCTGTTAATTCTATAGATTGTGTGACATAAGAAACACAGAAACTCCTGGAATGACAAAGGCGACTAAAAGAAGAAACTAATTAGTATCTTTCATCAGTGAAACTTGGAGCAAGCTGGTAAGACTGGTTATTAAGGCACTCCCCACATTTGTTCTTCACGCTTTTAGTCTGTACAACTCTTAGTTTTCCCTTATATGGGCTGCAGTGTGGTGTGAAAGTTCTGTGGAAAATACATCAGCGATACAGACAGCACCTCCAAACCTCAGTTCTGTTGGGCTGCTTGCAGTCATTTCATTGAATCCATTAAAGTAAGAATCTGCTGACAGAAGCCATGCAGCATTCTTTAGGACGTGTTCGGTAACGACAGGTCCCTATGGCCTGATGCTTCACTCCAATATCACAAAGGAAACAAGTTCACGCTTGCAGTGCCAACGGTTGAAGTAAGACAAGAGCAACATGGTACAGCTGTGACACACAACGTCTCCCTCCTTAGGCTTAATCATCGCTCCAACATGGAAATGTGAAGCGTGGTTTTCACCGCCAGACGTACAGAAAGATTTCAGAGGGAAAAGAAAGCACATGTAAAAATAAACACTCTCCAAACTGTCTGATGACAATTAGCCTAATTAGTTTGTAATTATTGTTGGCCTCTAAACTCCATTATGAGTCTCTCCTCTGATTTCCCCCACCCTCTAATACAGACGCTTTTCCCTTCTCCTCATTTAGGCAGATCCAAATTCCCTGCCTCACAGCAGCTCTTTTAATGAAATCTCCGCTATAGCAGCTATTAACAACATGTTTTCAGGAAAACACTTTGAGGTCTGTGAGGAATGACAATTGTTGCTAATGGCCAAGAGGGGGGGGTTATACATCTGCAACTTCATAACTTTAATGAGCAGATTAAAAACAAGCACATCAGTGCTCCATGCGGCTTTACCTGAAGCGAACGGCGTTGCATAGGGGTGTGTCTCCATAGCGATCTTTGGCATGGACAGAGGCTCCCTGGTTGAGCAGGTATTGCACAAGTCTGAGGTGACCCTCACAAGCAGCGACATGCAGGGGTGTGCGTCCGTCAAAGTCACCCAGACGTAAGTCGCTGCCCTGAAACACAGGAAAATCAGCCCTGCAGGTTGGCTATCCAAAACAGTAAAAACAGGGGCGAGGTGTGTTGATGAGTCTGTCATAAACGTGCAAATCAAATAAATACCCAACAGCCACACAGACTGGTCTTTAATATGAGCAAAATAGACAATGTTCTAAATAAATGTACAGAAAACATCAGTTTAGCAGTCCTCTGTCCTTTCAGAAATGTAATATGTTGAAACTTCAAGCAGTGTCTTTAAAGACGCTATCCAGAAGTGTATTTAGTTCTGATTTAAAGCCTGTTTTCTTTTGACAAATTTCGACACAGATCATGACGCACTCAGGGTCTATTTGAGTTGCAAGAGGTTTGACTTTCCTTAGCAAACGTGTAAACTGTAAACTGAAAACAAGCTGAAAATTTTCACATCGGAAAATTACAAAAAAACAAGTATGATGGGATTGCATAAGTGTGCTCTTTTAGCTTTCAGAATTACCCACCACATTTAAACTCATGTTAAGTAAGAGCTAGCAAACACCTACCATCCCTTACAGTTCCTATTAGGCCTTTTCTGATATCTTCTTAGTTGTCCTTATGTTATGTCACAACAAGCATAAAAGCTTGTTTTTTGGGGGGGTTATGTGGGTATGTAATTTCTAACAAAAAGGTATGAGGTATGTTCTACAGATAACAAACTATATCAACAGCATGTTTGGCTGAATTAACAGAAAAGTGTCACTGGTGCCAAATCTACAAAAACACCTATGTGTATGTTTCCAAATTCTATTTGGCTTTGTGTGAACTTGGACGTCCAATTTTCTCAAAAGACTAACATTGATTTTTTTTTCTCAGTAAGTTTTAACTGTGGACACTGACCCTGCCACTCAAACATGAGAAGATAAGAAAGGTCAGAGCTAACGTACAAAGTTATGGCTAAAATGAGTGAGAGTGTATCAAACTGTTTTTGTTTATACTGTATGACACAATGAGAGGGAATGGCTGCTTACCATTTCCTTAAGCGCTCCTAAAGCTTCTGTGTCCCCAATTTTAGCAGCAGCACATGCCAGTGAAGGAGTCAGGGCATCACGGATGGCTTCCAGTTCCTTTTGGATGGCAGAAAATGTAAGAGATAAAAAAAATGGCTTTCAGGAAACTTGATAGAATACTCTTTCCAAAGTTTGTAAATTTTAATAATTTTAAACACTACCAATGACAAAGGTAGAAGTAGTGTTTTTGTTTTTTTGTACAACTTTATCAATAAAAAAGTATGACTTTACATATCTAGTGTCGTGAAGTAGCCCCTTAAAAAAATAAAAATCACAAATTGATCTTTGCAAATGTTTTTTGTTTATTTATGGGCATGTGGGGCAGTTACATGCTGTCAAAGTCCTCCAACTTATTGCCCTGAAAGACTGCATTGGATTGTTTAATAATTTCCATTCTCATCTTTATTTGTTTTGCATCAAATACAACAAAATACTGTGAAAAATTTTCATCATTACTACAAACCAAAATGTTCATGGGACATATTGAGATTTTCTTAAACAGACTGGCACAAATTAATCTAGAAAAGTAAAGTGGAAGGAATATGGTAAAATAGTTTTCATTTTTTATGCTTGGGGTTGTTGTCCAATTGAAAGACGAACCTTAAACGTTTTGCCTTCCACTTCACAACTATGCACTACTTTGTGTTCGGTTACCAAATAACATCCCAATCAAATACTTTGTTGTTTTAACTGGATGATACATGAAAAAAGTTCAAGAGGTACATATACTTTCATCCTTCCTCCAGAAATATATCAAGAGCTGCACAGACGTTTCTGTAGTTTGATAACAATTCTAACAGACAGTATTTATTTCATGTAACATGTAAATGTTTTAATGTGACATTAAGCCTTGCACGGAAAACTGGAAGGACACAAGCGCCACTGAGCTTTCCTAAGAATCTAAATGGAAAAACAAACACAAAGACAAGTGTAAGAACTTAGGACTTGATTGTCCTGTTATCAACTGGTTTGGTGAAAATCCTGTTTAGCTGTTGTGGGGGTTGAAACGTGTGCGTGGGTGTCTGTCTGCCTACCTCTTTGCAGCTAACGCTCAGAGACTTGGCAATGACCTGGATGAACCTGCTGTCACTCAAACACAGTTTAGCTCCTTCGAGGTCGGCACTCATCTCACCTCGCAGGTTTTGAGCCATCATCTGAACGAGAGGACAAAATGGTTTATACTTGTGTGACATTCCTTCTTTGAAAAGTTCACATCAACACTAAAAAATAAAGAAGCCTTTTGAGCAAATAACCTTTTTCTGAGCATCCAGAGAGAGCTCTTGCTTAGCCAGAACATAAGACAGTTTTGACAAGGCGGCCTCAGGGGTCATGTCACCTCCAGCTATGAGACCGGCATCCATCAATACCTGAAAAGTCAGATGAATCAGTCACTTGCAGAGCAGACTGTATAATAATCACTTGCAAAATTGGAAAAAAAAAAAACTACTTGGATGAAAAGTTAATCTGTGTTTATGTATGTAATCACTTAAACAAACATGGAATGGCATGCATAAAATAAATTTCACATTTCTCAAATGTTTGAGTTGTTCATCAATTATATGTGTCTGTTTAACGAGACATAAATATTTGTTTTTAATGAAAGACTGTAGCACAGGAAATATGAGATATTTTTTAAATACATAATACATTTAAAGCAATATATCTTTAAATTTGTATATATGAAGTTGGACTTCCACAGCAGTAGATGATTGTTAAAAATTTCAAAGACCAATATGTTAGTTTTACAGTGATATGAATACCATGCTCACAGAAAAATAAAAATAAAAACATGAGCAAGTCACTGCAATATTAAACAATTATATTGCAAGTGCATATTGTTTTAATTATTATTAAATAAACTCCCGTACCCTTCCAGTGGCATAGGAGGCTGAAACTGTCCCCCTCAGACACTGGGTGCAGTTGACTATGATGACACCGGTCTTGGTAGCCTTACTCAACTCCTCCAGAAGATCAGGGCGGTTATCGGGCGCGTTCCCACTGCCATAGGTCTCCAGGACGACGCCCTGCATGGGTGGCTGCAGGAAAGCCCTGACCTGGAGACAGATGTGAGCCGGCTCGAGTTGAAAACAGCCCGCATTTACGACCGCATCAACTGCATAGCATCAAATTGAGAAATTAGTATTCCGTGTTATTTTTCCTGCAGTGCTTTTTAGTCTTATGCACGGGACCATTCCCTCTACTAAAAGCCCATCTGGTGCCTTCTCTAAAACCAGTATCTCAATCACCGGTTGGCTGGCAGGCACTCGGAGGCCCTATAGCACATCATTAACCGTGGCATACGACTAGAACAGCAGATGACTTCAACGGCAGAAAGGAGAGCAATTAATCTGAAGCCATTAGTGAGAATAAAGTCACTTGGCAAAAGCAGTGCGAGGGGAAGGTGACATTTAAAGTTCGGGGTTCAGTCAGTATTTTTGAGTATAATTAGTAGATTGACAAGAAAGGTCTGACACAGACCTCAAATCACACTTCCACACAGCAGGAAAGGTGAATATGCAGGAGCCTGGAGTCCAATCAAAACGGTGCCTCATAAAGGCCTTTAAACGTGGTAAGAAAGCCTTGATAGCAGAGCTGGGTAGAGGGAGCAGATTGAGACAGTAAAGGAGAACCGTCCCCGCAGGTTCTGCAGGGGGAAGCTCAGCTAAATGGGACGGTATCAGCGGCATTCCTCCCTCTTTACAGGGTGATTGGACATGGGCCATAACTTTCTCTCATCTTTTTCTGTCCAGAACTCGCTCTGCAGTTTACAAGAGCAGATAAAGTAACAGCGGAAAAGTAATTACATAAAAGTAACAGTATTTTATTGCAGTTTGACAAAAACATGGTTTTACCTTAATTCAAAAGACATTTGTGGTTTATGTGTGAGTCAATTCAATTTGAATCAAACTTAATTTTGAGCTGGTATTGCTTCATTTGCCAAACCCTTGTAACTCTGTGTTAATGTTATTGTTAGTGTGGAGGCCAAATTAATGTAAAATAATATATATTTTCAGTTAAAACATATTTATTTAATTAGTAATTTAATAAGTGCATTTGTTGAGGTTTCGGTAACATTATTAGTATTGCATGTTGCCAATGTCGTAATGTTTTATTTTAGGTTATATGTTTATAGCTTAATTGGTCCATTTTGCATTTTATGCGAATGCATGCTGGAACGTTAAGGAAGGATAGAAGAGAGAAAGAAAAAGCGCTGCAAGTAATATCGACAAAGCCAGATGGTGTTTCAACCGTAGTTTGTTTGTGGAGGTAAAGTTCAATCCTTTATTCAACTGCTCTTGTAAAGAATACACGTAAAACTGTGGAATAAATTTTTGGTTTGCATCCTTATATCGGAGTGCTGTGAAAGTTTTTATTTTTTCTCTTCAAACACACAAGTGAATAAAGCAAATAAACCTTGTGGCAAAACAGTTAGAGTTGAGATTTATGACAAAAGTCCAAATTGAACCGGGTAAAAAAAAAAAAAGACATAAAGTTGTATTAATTGACTTATTTTACTCTGAAAAGAGGAGGAGGCTGCTTTGACTTTTCTTTCTTAAGGAAAGAAAAGAAGCAAAATGCAGAAGTTCATTAGACTGCAACAAGCTCAGTTCACTGAACTGTAATTTGGATGGAGCCTCTCCATGGCTCGCTCCCGTCAATCTCACATCCCAGATGATTTGCATTTGAGTCACCCTGTGGTCACAAGCTACAAAATGGAACTGGAAGATGTTAAACCAAAGCTAAAAATGAGAGACGTTGCACAGCATACTCAAAGTATGGCATAAAAAGAAAATCTGTAAAATTTTAATTAAAATAATATGAAGTGTTTACTTTATGTCAATGCGGTCGGGTGGAGCTGCATCTTTTAGGCCTGATGTAAACTCAAGAGAGGTTGTATTTTACATGCTGTATTTTTACATGCAATTTCAGGCATATCACTATTCAAAGACTTTTACAGATCCAGAATAAATGCCATCTGGAAATTCATAAGATTTCACTAATGTTCACAAAACTGAAAAATAAATAAATAAAAGAATCTTTAGGAGATTCTTACATAGCAGTGAGAATTGCCACCACGGTCCCACCTGTAAGACAGAAATCAAATTTTCTTACTGTTGATGAAGTGATTCCTGGGAACAACCTGAGCAGACCCACGTTCCTGTTCAGCTCCGTTCTGACTTGAAACTTTGCCGTGGTGTTTGCCCTCCACACGGTGTCCCAGTTAACTAAAACAAAATGATTAAATTGCTTCAGCCACAGCAAAAATTACACATCGCAGTATGCAGAAGTATTTTATCTACGACTAACTTTTAAAATCTACTTCAGCGTCTGCTAAAGGAGGCAAATTGGGAGAAGTGAATGCGTTGAAACTGCCGGCGTCCACCTTAGTAACACGATTTCCTCTGTAGAGCTTGTTGTAGAAATACAAGCAAACCTGGAAGAGAAGAGATCTAGTTCATGACCAAAATTAGTTTCAGATCAAATCAGTTTCTACATTTTTTGTCTTACTCTCTTTTGATGACTTACTTGCATTTTTAGACAAATGTCAAAAAGTAGACCATTGGAGGAAATAAATACCAGAAACACAGAACCTGGCTAAAGTATTCAAACGCCATTTTTCTTTTAATTTTGATACAACCACAAACTTCTGCACATTTTATTGAGATTTAATGTGACACATCAAGACAACATAGTACATCATAGTAAAGTTATGGAAGAAATGTATGGGTTTCAAATGCTTTGACAGGAAAGTCTGAGAAATCTGATGTGGCTTCTTTTAACCTGATACCCTGAAATAAAATCCAGTGTATGCAGCTCTCTCAACTGCAAACCTGCAATGAGACAGCTGCCAACTTAAACTGACAGGCAGGTAAGAAGAATAATAATCAAGAAAGAAGCCAAGACATCCACAGCTCAGTCCATCACCAGGGAATCAATGAGCCAAATACAAATTAGGCTTTTATTGAAAAATGCCAGAAGAAATCTTGACTGCAGAAAAATTTCTTCTGGTTCCATGAGACTAAAACTGAACTTTTTGGTCTACATCCAAAACTAAAAGTGGCAAAAACTAACTTCACAAAACCTTGTGAATGCCATTGGTGAAACATGGTGGTGGCAGGCAAGCAGCATAGTACTGTGGGTGAATACAGTACCATGTATTCACCCTCAAACGGGAATCATATTTGTTCCCATTTGTAAAATGGGAACAAATGTGGTTAATCATGCAGATTTCTACTACATAAAGCTACTCAAAAACAAAATAAAATTTCACCTGATGTAAAATTCAGGTTCACATACATTGGATAATTTCTAATATATTCTTTACACAAAGTGTTTTGAAGTGTTTGGATTAAATGAACAAAAAGCAGCTCAGTTTGAAACACTCGGCCCTAACAATGTATCATTCTGCAGAGCGTACGATGAACAGAGTAAGGTGCTTTTCCTGTTCTGTTAAGTGTTGCAAAACACTCCCAGTCAAAGAAAGCATTCTTTCCACACCCATCTCTGAGGTACATGATGCATTATCTCTGCAAATCACACGGTATATTTAATTGATTTAGACATTAATTCAGTAACGGAAAATACTAAAACATTGAGTCACAGCGATTCTTCATATTTGGTTCATAAATAAAGCCAAGTTATTAAATAATTTAAAACTATAGAGGCTTTTCAAACCTCAGGAATGACAAACTGGCCGGCAATCAGCAGCGCTCCCAGCAAGTTATCTCTGCCATCATTCCTCAACTCATAGATCGGCACCTAAATACAGAAAGTAAACACGGCAAATTTTAGCAGCCACGTTTCATAAACTGGTTGGTTAAACACTTGAAGACAAGTTTTACCTGAGAGCCGGTGAGAACGATTGGTTTTCCCAAATGTTCACACATGAAGGACAAAGCAGAGGCTGTGTAAGCCATAGTGTCTGTGCCGTGAAGAATCACAAACCCGTCAAAGTTTTCATAGTTTTTCTGGGATCAAAAATATTAAGACACACAATGAGAGATGAAGTTAAAATTCAATGTTTATTTTTTTTAATGTTTATTTTTTTTAATCTTTTATGACCTAGAAAAAATCTGCCCTAAAATAAAGACAATACATTTTAATTACATCAAAACTTTTACTCAGTAAATTTTTTGATATCCTTCACAAGGATTGTGTGTCACAAAAGGTTGTTGCTAAAGAAGCTGGCTGTTAATACAGTGTTAATAATATCCAATCATATTAATGACAAGTTTCATGAAAGAAATAGTGTGGTTAAGAACCAACAGGGATAACCACATCCTCAAGAATCTTGTCAACCAATGTGGTAAATTGTTATAGCAAATAAGGAAAAATGAGCCCCAGTCATGTATTGAGTTCATATATTATGCAGTAAAATGACAGATCTGTTAAAAATGTAATTTTATTGATCTTATGTAATATTCTAATTTGCTGAGAAAGTGAATTTAGGGTTTTCATTAGCTGTAGTGCAGGTAATCAATAAATTAACAAAAATACATCATTTCTTGTGTGCCTTATATGAGTTTTCATTTTCAACATTTTGTTAATAATCTAATTTAATGAGATAAACCTCTAAATGTACCTCAATGTCTTTTCCAATGCGCCCCCAATCATCTGTGGTCATGTTGGAGGAGTCGAGCAGAGGACTGTACTCCAGGATCGTGTAGACTATCCTCTTATTTAATTTACTCGGCCTTAGAGGGAAAACAGTTTACAAACGTTATATTCAGGAAGTCAATAAGCTCAGATGTTAGTGGAGTTAGTGCAAACACATTCACCACACAAAACATAAACACAATGTTAAGGCAAATATTTAAATATGACAGGATAAATTATTATTATTAATGTCCATGCTGATCTTTTTTGTATTTGTGTTCTGATTAACAAAATAAAGTAAGTTGAAAGAAGTAGAAATGGCTACTAATAAACAAAAGAGTTGATGAATAGACAATGTTTTTTTTAGCTGGGCCTTTCCATCTCCACAGAAAGCTGCCAAAACCTGTTTTAAAAACAGACAAGGAATTCTGCAGGTTGAAAATCAAGGTGTGTTGCCATGTGGGTATAGAGAATGGAAGGTTCGAACTCTCAGGCCTACGTTTTGTTCACACTACTGAATTAACTTCAGCTAAACAACAAGTTTGCTGAAGTTGTGCCCTGTAAAGGGACACAGCTAATGCTACATTCTTGGTATTTCATATATGATTACAGGGGGAAAATATCTGTTCTCATTCATGAGGCTGGAGAGTCTAACGTCACCTTTCAACGTAAAGAGCCCCACCTGCAACACTCACATGTAAAGCAGCGTGACAGCCTCATCACAGACTGAAAGATTTCCCCACTAATCTCTTTTTTTTTAAGAAAAAAGAGAGGGTGTGACTCCCTGTCTCCCACCCCCACATTATCATGAGCAGCCTTATTCCATGGAGATAGAAGCTGAAAGGAACAGCAGGGGGAAGAGCAGGCAGGCCCCAGCCCATCCAACCAGGGGTCTTCACTAACACTCTTCCAATTAGCCTCTCATCCACACACAACCCCGTGACATATGTTGTTGATAATCTGAGAACTGAAGTAGCCGAAGAAAACACTATTCAAATCCCAAATTATTCATCCTTCTGGCCTGAGGTACATAAAAGCTACGCATTAGCATACCCGTGCTAGGAGGCCTAATAATTAAAGAAGAATAAATGTGTGTATTGTGTGTGTGTATTTTTATGAATGGGGTTGGTGGTTGAATAAGGACGGTCTAAGTTTGCATAGATCTAATTCAGTTAATACTGACTCACAAATACAATACTTTTTTCATTCATTCGATTAAAAAAAATCATACATATTGTTAAGAAGAGAACTATTCAGACCAAGTGAAGGTTTAGATTTCAAGTTATTTTCCCTCAACCAAAAGGTTTATTGCTAACAGGAAATAACACAAGTGTCTCTAAAAAGATAAAACAATCTAAAGGAAATATATAATTTCTCTGTTTTCATTTAGATATGATTAAAAAAATTAGCTAACTAAAAATATCACTAATTCACTAATTTAGGCAACATCCTCAGTCTGATGTTGGAAAGTCTCTGTGTGCACAATAATCTTTGACACTATCCATCTACTTTTAGATTTAAACTTTTGCAAAACTGCTACATGACATTATTTTTGAAGAAAACAGTGCAAATTTAGATCTAAATGTACAAATTTTTGGCCTAACTGTATTGTATAGATTCTTTTCACACAAAATGAGACATTTAAAAGCAATTACTTATTTTAATTATATGCATTAAGACTTAGCATTGTTCAGCACTGCTTGAAACACAAGGAGTCTGACAGTTGTCACTATATCTTGGATATATGTATCTGTGTGTCACTCCAGTCACAGTCTAATCCTTGTCAATACCCCAAAAATTCAAAAATCTTTCAATTTCTACCACACCTTTTTCTTTAACTAAACTTTCTATTAAGTTTTGGATGCAGCACTGTAAAAACCTGTCAGTTTCTGAGACAACCAACACATTGGCTGTGCCATAACATGACTCGTTTTTTAATCAATCTATGGTTAATATTTACATTTTGTAAGACTTCAAAATAATCATTATGAAATTTACCAAAAATAATACTTGAACTATTTTAGTGTGTGTAAATAAAATTACTTTCTGGGTCTGCTCAGGTTTTTTATTATTTTTATTAAACTACAACTCAATGAGTTGCACCTTCATAAACTTCCACTGACAGGACGTAAAAACTGTAAAAAGTTGTTAATCAGCTTGGAGCTCAGTCCATTCTCATTAATGTGCTGCATGTGGGCAGGACAATAAGACAAACTTTATCAAACATGCTGATCAGCAAATTGTTGTTTGGCCTTTACAAACTGATGGTCCAAGGAAAATTAGATTATCTCAGCCCAGGTTATTATCGTTCACATGTTAAAGCTGTTGAATTACAGGAAACTCAGCACACATTAGCTCAACAGAGGAGACTAAAAATACTCAAGCCAACATTTATTTGACACCATTCCCTTGTCAGAACAGAGAAATAAAAATACTGTCAAGCATGTGCCATGCTTTCGGTTTTACAGCACCGAGGGAACTGGAGATCGGACTGGGGCGTTGGCTTTCTGTTGAGGTGACAAATGCAGGTTATTGTCATTAAAAGGAATCTGAGCGTTAGAGGAACAGTTTACTAAAAAACAAAATTCTAAGTTTGGGTCAAAACTAGATTAAATAAGGGGGTTGATAGAGCAAATTATGTAAAATTGCTATATTTTAGGAATAAACAAAGGGTTAGTTAAAAATCCAACAATATTAGATAATCTAAACTGTCATACAAAGAAAATTAAAAGAATTAACAAAAAAATTACAAGAAAATTAAGCATACAATAGATGATAATTCTTCTAGTGAAAAGCAATAGCACCAACCTTACAAGATGCTCACTGGATTTTTCCCTGGCTCAGATTAAAACAATTTAGAAAATGTGTCCATTATTCAGTTTTTTTCAAATTCAAATACTTTTATACAACTAACAATAATCTATAAAACACAGTTATGTGGTTTCTATTGTAAATTCAGCTATAGTACACAGAGTGGCCTTCAAACGTTTATCTTTAAGAGCATGGGTTATGGCTACATGTTGACTTGTTGTTGAACTTACGGCAGAACCAGCGTGTTTTCCAATTGGTAGTACTCGTACAGGCAGGTTTGATGGGCATAAAGTTCATCATGTAGGATGGGCAGCTTCCGCAGATTCTCCACAAGGGCATTGGCTTTAGGGGCATAACCTGTAAAAGAAAAAAATACTATATGTTGTAACTTATTCTTTGTACTGTTTTTTTAAAGAGAGATTTGCCATTGTCAATAACACAATAATAAGTCTTATACTGAACCCTAGAGGTAAACCTAAGAAATTACATGAACACAATATATATATATATGTATATATATATATATATATATATATATATATATATATATAATATTATATATATATATATATATATATATATAATATAACAAATATATAACAATGGCAAAAAGAGAGATTTGCCATTGTCAATAACAATGGCAAACAGTCTTATACTGAACCCTAGAGGTAAACCTAAGAATTACATGAACACAATATATATATATATATATATATATATATATATATATATATATATATATATATATATATATATATATATATATATATCTTAACCGAACTTTTTTTTTTTGCTATTTACATCACCCAGGTTTTTTGTAGGCAGTGCAAGGACATAAGCTGGAGTTTGTATTAATTTTCACAAGTCAGTGTAATTTATTTTGACAGCATATAAAGTTGTGCAGTGCTGGGCTATTTCATCCAGAGAAAACACCACAGAAAGAGCAACGTAATCAGAGAATATAATGGTGTGAAAAATGTTTGCTGCCTTCCTAATTTCCTTTTATTTTTATATTTGTCACATTTAAGTCTTTCAGAAGATCAAACCAACTGAAATATAAGTGAAAAACAACACAAGTAACCACATAATGCATTTTTTAAAGGAAGGGGCTTATTTTTGAGAGAAAAAAAAAATCGTCCAAACTGTGAATGAAAAAGTAATTTTTATTCGCGGCATAGCATAAAATATAGCAACTAGAAAATTCCTGAAGAAATTTAACCGGGGCCTGCCAAAGTGTGCCCGTCGGTTTGGACCCAGCGTTCTGATGCTAAACATTAGCATCCATGCTAAAGAAAGCTGCAATGTCATCAATAGCACGTGGAGATTCACAAGCATGACTTACTGCATTCAGGAAACTAAATATGGGTAATAAGTAAGGGAAATAGCTAATACAAGGTAAAAGGCTAATGCTAATTCTCTGCCTTGCTGTGCAAGGCAGAGCCCTAACCTGAGTGGAAAAGATCATGCAGGATAATCTTATTGCACTGCCTACGGCAGTGCACTGATGGGAAACAGAGAAATGCTAATGTTTGTGCTAATGCTAATGCACAGTCTTGCTGCGCAAGACAGTGCCCTAACTTGAGAGGAAACGATAATGCAAGCTAATATCATTGCAGCGCCTGCGGCGCTGCATTAGCCACGGCTGAATCTTAAGGCTTTTATTTTGAAATGTTCAGAATGTTTCATTTTAAATGGTCAATGTAATCCCATATATGATTTTTTTTTATGTTAATTTAAAATTTCCACACTAATTCCATGTGTAACAATGGTTGGTTAAAAATAGTTATAAAAGGCCCAAAACACAAGCAGTTCTAAACTCCAGCTTTTTTCTCTGAGTTCTGCCATGTTAGAACTACAGTGATGCGTTTTTGTAGTCCTAATCAGCTGGCCCCTTTGTGTTCCGTTGCCATGGTAATGGATCCTCTGCCAGCTGTGAGTCAGACAGGGGGAGACTTAATTCTATCAGTTTGAGGCAGCCATTTTCACTAAAATAGGCATGAGCCAGAAAGGAATCTTAAGGCTTTTATTTTGAAATTTTCATTGAGATTAATTTTAAATGGCCAATCTCATCCCATGTTTAACACTGATTGGGTTAAATCAGTTATATAGTGGTCAAAAGAGCAATTACTTGATGGAAAAATTGTCAAGGCTTTTATTTTGAAATTTACATTAAGTTTAATTTAAATGGTAACACTAATCCCATGTGTAACTATGGAGTTTTTGAAATCAGTTCTAAAATTCCCAAAAACCAAGTACTTGTCATGGCCAGCTCATTCCTCCTCAGTAGTAACTGACAGTTCCGCCATGTTGTAGTTCTGCCAATCAGCTGACCTCTTTTGTAGGCACTGAGTGATCCGCCATGTTGTAGTTCTAACCTGCAGTCATTGTAGTTCTAAAGAGCAGCTCAGTCCTCCTCAGTAGTAACTGACAGTTCCACCATGTTGTAGTTTTTATATTCACCTATGACCTCTTCTGTAGGCACTGAGTGTTCTCCATGTTGTAGTTCTAACCTTCAGGAATTGTAGTTCTAAAGAGGAGGTCAACTCTCATGTCAGTGTGACACACAAGGAGAGGCTTAATTCTAAGTGCTTGAAGAAGTTAGTTTTTCTGACAGGCCTGAGAGAAATATTCAAGATTTTATTTCGAAATTTTTATTAAGCTTAATTTAAAATTGCCAAACTAATCCTGTCTGTAACAGAGGTTGCTTACAATCAGTTATAAAAGCCCAAACACAATGTAATTCTAAAGGCCAGCTCATTCCTCCTCAGTAGTAACTGACAGTTCCGCCATGTTGTAGTTCTGACAATCAGCTCTGACTCTTTTGTAGGCACTGAGTGTTCCGCCATGTTGTAGTTCTAACCTGCAGTCATTGTAGTTCTAAAGAGGTCAACTGTCATGTCAGTGTGACACACAAGGAGAGACTTAATTCTAAATGCTTGAAGAAGTTAGTTTTTCTGACAGGCCTGAGAGAATATTCAAGGTTTTATTTTGAAATTTTCATTAAGCTTCATTTTAAATGTCCAAAATAATCCAAAGTTTAACAGTGGTTTTGTTAAAAAAGTCACATAATGCCCAAGAGAGCAATTACGTGATATAAAAGAATCTCAAGACTTTCATTTTGAAATTTTCATTAAGCTTAATTTAAAATTGCCACACTAATCCTGTGTGTAACAATGGTTGCTTAAAATCAGTTATAAAAAGCCCAAACACAATGTAATTCAAAGGCCAGCTCATTCCTCCTCAGCAGTAACTGACAGTTCCGCCATGTTGTAGTTCTGACAATCAGCTCTGACCTCTTTTGTAGGCACTGAGTGTTCCGCCATGTTGTAGTTCTAACCTGCAGTCATTGTAGTTCTAAAGAGGTCAACTGTCATGTGTGTGAGGCAGAGACAGATTTCTATCTTTGTGAGACAGCTCTGTCAGTTATAATGGAAAAAGCAGCCCGAACAACTCCTTGCCGTTCGGAAACCGTGATACGTATCGGAAAACCGTTTGAAGCATATGAGAGAGCTATTTTTTGTCTCCGATAGTCCTGCAAATCAAATCTGTAGCTCATTCACAGTAATTGCAGCGATGAGAGAAAAATGGTGTGTGCTGAGGTCTGAAATTTTCCAAAAAAGTATGAAAATACATGGTGGAGAGCGTCAGTTAGGCTGGAACTTGATTTTGCTCTAAAGCACCTTGACAGAAAACCGTAAGCCCTAGAAAATTTTGAAAACATTTTACCGGAGCAGACATTCGTATCGATGTCATGTCCGGGTTTCATACCGATAGCACAATATTTGTGGGCGTGGCGGCGATTTCAAAATTTATTTGGGGTCAGAAATCGACTTCATTTTTCACTCTAGCGGAGCGGCAGTTGGTGGCAGTTATGCTCTGCGTTTCGGCAGTTGGAAATTTTGCTCGTTTTTCGCTTTTTACGTCGCCGTCGTAACGCCGATTCCCCATAAAAGTAATAGCTCCAATGCCGGGAACGAGCCGCACGTTTTGATACCACTTTTGTGGGTGGGCTCGCAGCGGTGCGAGCCGCATTCCGGTGAACGGAAGAAAAATAAAGAAAAGAGGAAATAGGTGAAGAACAATAGGTGCCTGCCATGCAATGCATGGAGGCAGTTACTGACTTGCTTCGCAAGTCAGTCACTGCTCTCCTTATGCGTTGCTATGGGCAGGCCCCAATTAAAGATTATTAGCTGCAATCTCTCCGTCTTGTTTAACCCTAACCCTATGGCAGCCCCCAAGAACTTCTTATATTTTGTTTTGAAGCCTGCTTTTATAATTTAGTCATTTTCTGTTCCTCTATCAGATATTGTAGTTTGAGCCTAATCTAGGTTAACCACCTGAGTGAAGTTGCCCCCCACACCTTCTTCAAATCAGACAAAATTGGTGTCAAAAGGTTGTGCTACATTTGTGCTGGTTTGTGCAGCAAAACATTTGGTTTGTGATGCTATCATTTTAACGATATAAAGAAGTGTTTCTAGAGGTCATCAAAGGTCATCAAAGCACAAACGTTTGACACCAATTTTGTCTGATTTGAAGAAGGTGGGGAGACCAACTTCAGTCAGGTAAATTACCTAGCTTTCATTGATCAGGCACTCCCAGTGACCATGCAGTTTGACCAACAGACCAAGACAATAACAAATAACAGGCAAAATAAACTACTGATGCCTGTTCTTACAGGGACCTATGCATGTTATTCTGCATATCTACATGTTGCGCAATTCCACATGTAAGCATGGGGTTACTGATTTATGAAGGGTGATGTTGTTCCAACTGTATCCTGGAAAAAAGGTGCCAGTATCTGAGGTCTAACTTCAATTCGCCCTAAAATCCAGCCCTAATAAATAACTGCTCCAAATGAATACAACTTTATTACAAACAAATAAGTGTACTTTTCGTTTGAGGCAGAAAATATATTGAAAAATGTCAATTTTGATTAATTGTTATTTTAAGTGTTCCTTTCCGTGTGTCTATTTTAGGATGCACGTGTCAGTTGTTATGAAGCATGTGAAACATGTGACAGTTATTTGCATGCTGAGTTATTTGCTACAGATGTGGGCTTCAAGCAGACACTGCTAAACTTAAAAGTAAAGTTAAAAGTATCCGGGAGCACAGTCCATCACATATACCTGTATCATGTAACGTCATCCCGATCGTCCCCCCGGTGTTTATCACCAGGACCCGCGACTCGTTCCCGCAAGGTGAAGTCACCTTCTCTAGGTTTTCCACCGAGCTGCAGCTGGACAGCTTTCTCCTTCGGCTTGGGTGAAGCTGAACGCCAGGCGGAGAAACATCGTTTGTTTCTATAAGAGTCGGGTGAGACAGAGCCCGGCCGAGAGTGTTAGGTCTACTGTATTCCGCCATGATGCCTTAAAGTGGCGCTGCCCCTTTAAATCCGTCTGTTGAAGTTGAGGCGCTTGTCTCGTAGTAAACGTCAGAGCCCCGCCACGTGAGCAGAGGATTCCATCGTTGTCAGTGCGGGCGGAGTTTCGCTACTATAATTCACAGCGCTGTGATAGACCAGGAAGGGAATCCATTCTGCAGTCATCAATGTGGTTTTGGGTTATACACCAGTGGCGGTGTCCTTATACAGTGGGCAACAGGACAAAGCGGCTTCACGTCCATGGTTATATAAACTGTAGAAAACCTAGGTCTGGCCCTTCTCCACGCACACACCACACCGTGCGCGCTCTCATGCACGAGACGTGTCCAGGTGTTATGCCGAGAAATGCATGCCTGCCGAGAATTGCATCCCCTGTCGCGGGAGCGCGCATCGCTCTAAACTCTCGCATATTGATGAGTAAACGGGCTGAAATCCGACCGAAGAGGAAACTTTTAAAGATATTCGTAACATTATCACGTTTATTAATCATGTAAGCGCTAAAATTGTGGGTTTTATTTCGCAAATTAATTAAAATAAACACTGATTTTTTCACGTTTATTGAGCCATATTTGTCGAACGTTCTTCAGTGTCTGATGAACAAGTTCTCCGCAGCTGCTTTGAAATTCCAAGATTTTTCTTTTAACACCATAATAGCTTAAAACTTTACAAAACCGAGGCCCAATTACGTAGAACATTTTATATCACGCTTAGCTGTCTAGTGTATTAATGTAGGGGAGATGCATTTTAATTTCTGAGCCTGCTAATATTTGCATCCCCTGTCTATTGTCCTGTTCATATGAAACTTATAGTGGTAACTCAGGGAACAAGTGTCATTATGTAGAAAAAATATAATTTCCAAGTTAGCAGGGGATGCAATTTTTGGCAATATGGATTTCTAGCTTGCCAAAATTTGCATTCCCCCTGTTTTCATCAAATATTGTTGAAATGACATTAAATTAATACCAGTAGTTCATGGAACTACTCTGGTCATGTAGAAAAACGTATTTTACTCTTAACTCTTTATTTCTCCAAATTAGCAGGGGATGCAAATTTTGGCAATATGGATTTTCAGCTTGCCAAAAATTGCATCCCTTCTACTTTCATCAAATATGATCCAATTGAGATGAAACTCATACCAGCAGTTCTTAGAGCTACTCTGGTGATGTAGAACAAGTTATTTCACTCTCAACTCTGTGTTTCTCCAAGTTAGCAGGGGGATGCATTTTCCAGCAATTTTTGGCAAGCTGAAAATCCACATTGCCGGAAAATGCATCCCCCTGCTAACTTGGAGAAACACAGAGTTGAGAGTGAAATAACTTTTTCTACATCACCAGAGTAGCTCTAAGAACTGCTGGTATGAGTTTCATCTCAATTGGATCATATTTTATGAAAGTAGAGGGGATGCAATTTTTGGCAAGCTGAAAATCCATATTGCCAAAAGTTGCATCCCCTGCTAACTCCGAGAAATAAAGAGTTAAGACTGAAATACGTTTTTCTACATGACCAGAGTAGTTCCATGAACTACTGGTATTAATTTAATGTCATATCAACAATATTTGATGAAAACAGGAGGGATGCAAATTTTGGCAAGCTAGAAATCCATATTGCCAAAAATTGCATCCCCTGCTAACTTGGAAATTATATTTTTTCTACATAATGACACTTGTTCCCTGAGTTACCACTATAAGTTTCATATGAACAGGACAATAGACAGGGGATGCAAATATTAGCAGGCTCAGAAATTAAAATGCATCTCCTCTACATTAATACACTAGACAGCTAAGCGTGATATAAAATGTTCTACGTAACTGGGCCTCGGTTTTGTAAAGTTTTAAGCTATTATGGTGTTAAAAGAAAAATCTTGGAATTTCAAAGCAGCTGCGGAGAACTTGTTCATCAGACACTGAAGAACGTTCGACAAATATGGCTCAATAAACGTGAAAAAATCAGTGTTTATTTTAATTAATTTGCGAAATAAAACCCACAATTTTAGCGCTTACATGATTAATAAACGTGATAATGTTACGAATATCTTTAAAAGTTTCCTCTTCGGTCGGATTTCAGCCCGTTTACTCATCAATATGCGAGAGTTTAGAGCGATGCGCGCTCCCGCGACAGGGGATGCAATTCTCGGCAGGCATGCATTTCTCGGCATAACACCTGTGCGAGGTAAAGCTGTCGCTTTACCTCGCACCTCTTCTGTCAGGTCTCCCTCCGCTGTCAGTCATGTTCAGGTGGCGGTCAACCATTCAGGTGACAAACAAGATGAATTTGCCAGCTCAGACCCAAAAGTTCAAACTTCTCTTGCTAAGCAGAGCAACCAATCATCGCCAGTAGAATGATTAAAATATAGCTCTTAGATTAAATAAAATATATAAATAAATTTAAATGTATATATCTATTCTCAAGGCTTATAGTTAATCTAATTAATTTTAACTCTTAAGAATAATTTCTGTCATATTCCACTGGCTCATGCAAAGATCTCGATGATTCTTCTCATGGCTATTCTCTTGTTCTGTTGTTGCCTATTTAGTTGTTTTAGAAACCAACCTGTAATGTTGAACATTATCAAACATCTGCATCAGACATGAAATATATATATATTTATACACCCTTATACTGACTTCGAATAGTTGTAGGGAACGTCATGATGTTGGACGTGAAACATTAGGGCGAAAAATATCTTCAGGGCATTCCTTCATATGAATTGGGTTAGTTACCATTTGAGGACCACACTCGATAAACAAATACTTCTTTTTTTCCTTCCAGGTTACTGAAACATTAAGGAAGTTACTTTGATACCATTCTGGTTCAATGTGATACTCTGGATCTCTTTCTTTGACCTCTCTTGTCTCAGATTGCACTAAAAATTTGGTTACATGCCGTTGGCCGCTAGGGGGAGATATTATACTCCCCCTAGAGGGGGTAATTATCAATAACTGGCAAAGATATATTTTCATTGATGAGATGCTAAACGTTTTTGTATTCAAGATTAAACACTATAGTCTCCACAGAATACTTTTTCTTAATTTCATTTCTTACTTTATAAGCCTTTTCCTGACAAATGGATGGAAAGAAACCTTAAATATTGTATCTTAATAAATTCTATAGGTAAATACTATAGAAGAGACATAGTAAAATTGCATTATATCATATTTTAAAGGATGCATTTCAATTAGTTGGAATTTACTCAAAGTTTATTTTGTCTGGCATTTAATTCCAAAACCAAAATTAACACAGTGGATGTGTTTATAACATAAAGACAGTGTGATAAACCATACTTTTGTGTTAATGATTGTGGTTTACAGTTATACAATAATTATTTTTATAGCTTGGCATCCCAGGGTCCAAACCTATCACATAAGCCAAAACATTTGTTGTAATACTCCAGTGTTGTGTTATGGCAATATTATGATTATAACATAATGATCCTAGACAGCTATCCAAAATGTGCTGAGAAGTTAGGTTTTCATACATCAGGGGAAGGTTAAGTGGATGGAAAATAGTTATAAATATACGCATAGGCCATACAAAACAGCAGATAAAGCTGCATTGTATAAAGTGTGTAATATTCATGAATACGATTGTTTTCACATGCAGATCGACTGTGTCTCATTTAAATGGAATGGTTGTTGTGGGATACTGCAATGTAAACCTAATCCCTGAGAAACTGAAATGTGCTTGTAAACCAACAGCAATAAATGCTCTAAAAACATACATTCTGGGTGTAAGTTGTACTTTTTGAAACGAATTGCCAAAATAAAACTTTTCTGTCGTCATAATACTCATTGTGCGAGAGTGTGGCATAAAGAAGCGTCAGACAGACGGAGGCGGACTCGGCGGCTGTCAGCTGAATGGAGCCGACAGGAGGAAGTGGCCCCTGATGCAGTTCCACACCTTTCCGTTATAGCAGCGGTAGTGCGGATAGCTCCAGTTAAAGGAGGAAGGCAAGAGCTGAGTCAATTTATCGACTCATAAGGACAAAAACAGGTAAGTAACTTAATTATAATCGGTCTCTTCTTCTACTAAAATGTGTCGCTAATCATATTATCGTAGCACGCGTTTATTGCCCTGATTTCTGTAGTTGACTGCAGCTAACTACTGTTAGCTACTTAGCTTAGCGTGCTAGGTAACGCGCTAACTAGCTGTATTAACTGGCAATCTAGCAATAGCTGGCTAATTTTTTATGTATGACCCTCCCCCTAAATCTCATTTCAGCGTGACCAGAGTTTCGCGTACGGGGTATTTCTGGCCACGGACAAGCAGGGATATATTTTACGAAGTTATTCCCTAGTAGCGCGGTGAAGTGTCCCGACGTAAAGCTGCTGTTTCTGTCCCCCGCCACAGCAGTGGAGAGAACAAGGGCGCACCCGGTGAGGAGGACCGCCACATCCTAACACTAGAGGAAATTCTCTTCAAGTACCGCGGCTTTTGTTGGAGGTACTTTTTACCCACACCGTGAATCTTCTCTGCAGTTTCCAGTCATCGCGGCCTGCACCTTCATTTTCATTTTTACTGAACAATGAACGACCTGCAACAGCTGCTGCCAAGTTCTTAGTCTGATCGTGTCATGTTGTGTGTAGGCCGAGAAGACATTATCTGAGCATAAATGCGCCTGCACCTAACAAGATCCAGACAGACTTTCAGGTGAAAAGTCAAGCATGTTTGTATATTTTTGACTTTTGTTCCCGAGTAAACAAAATATCCATTCACTTCATGGTTTCACCAGTAAGTCTATATTAAACTGTGAGCTGCATTTCAAGTGACCATCAAAACATTATCACATTTTCTTCTTGGGAACAAAGTATTTATGCTCAAGAGTTCAAAATGGGAAAAATGCTGTCAAAAATCTTCGGCAACAAGGAGATGAGAATACTAATGCTCGGACTTGATGCTGCTGGAAAAACAACAATCCTTTACAAACTGAAATTGGGACAGTCTGTGACCACAATCCCCACAGTTGGCTTCAACGTGGAAACTGTCACTTACAAAAATGTCAAGTTCAACGTCTGGGACGTAGGAGGCCAGGACAAGATCCGTCCCCTGTGGCGACACTACTACACAGGGACCCAGGGCTTAATTTTTGTGGTGGATTGCGCAGACAGGGATCGTATTGACGAAGCGAGACAGGAACTTCATCGCATCATCAATGACCGTGAGATGAGAGATGCCATGATCTTGATATTTGCCAATAAGCAAGACCTTCC